TTTTAAGCGAGCAAATCTTAAATAGCGTCTGTTCAAAAGGCATGCATTGTTAATGAAGAAATCATCTCGCCGTTACAAGCGACCTCTTGGTACAAGGTGGGTTGCACATCAAAGTGATGCTCTCGAAGCTTTTTTGCATAATCTGGATCTACTTCTTGGCTACTTGAACAACCAAATCGCTGATCCATATAATACGACAATGAAGAAAGAGACTCCTCGTTTAGAAGGTGTCCTAGCCTCGTGCTCTGACACGATCACACTTATATTTCAATGTGTAAAAGTTGATCTTCTGAAGTTGATTAGGCCGACATCGCTTGTTCTGGAATCCGTCTCAATCTTATTGCCGGAAGCCATCACGACAATCGGCGTTACACTGAAGAAAGTAAAAAAGCTAATGCGGAAGTTGAATGAAAACGGGGTGGATGCTTTACGAGATGAGTCGTTATTTCCCACTCTGAAGAACGACTTTTTACCATCACTTGATTTTGACGAAGAAAGTATCAGTCTTGGAAGAAGCACTCGCAAAGATCCTGCTTACACTGGAGTAACAACATTTGCTGGGTACACCTTAAACCGTGGAAACCTAGAAAATGCGCTTAGCAAAGTTTACGATGATGTGATGTTAGTCCTTCCGGCTTTAGAACTTGCCCTGGACAAGCGCCTTTCATTTCTTGCCAATGATCCTATCCTTTCTTCAGCTGCAGTTCTACTTGAAACAACAGCTTACCAAAACCGCGATGAAGAAGATATGGTGCAACCCTGCGAAGTGTTGGCGGAACACTTTCGACAGTCCCTTGAAGCAAACGGATATGTACAACAACGTCTTTGTGAGTTTCCTTTTGTTCATTTTATAATTTTTTTTAGTTTTTCTATATCTATAATTTTGCATATCCTAATCCCTACACTGATGTTTTTGTTTAAGCTCATGAAATCACTATATTACATGATCACATCACGAAATTCTTACCGAATGTTCCGCCACAAAAGTGCTGGCAGCAGATCTTTCAGCTGAAAGACAGGCTCAACATTCACAACATCGTCCAGTTAGTGGAAATTGGGATTGTGCTGCCCATTTCAAACGCCGAAGTAGAGAGAGTGTTTTCACCTTTCGCAAAGGTGATGAGAAGAGATCGGTAGGTGATATTAATTTTTGTTAAATTACTGTAACAGTTATGGACCATCTTTTTCCCGTTTTGATTAACCTTTACCTTACGACCAGCTTGTTTCCATGCAAGAGTTTCTGCGAAGCCTTCTGTTATGAATTTAAAGGCTAAATTAATTTTTTTCAGGCTCGCATTGAAAAACGATACGCAAGAGGCAATCCTTCGTGTTCGTAATGACAACGATTTCAGCAAAAGACGATATGACCGAGCAGTGAACATGTTTATGACTGAGTTTCCCAATGGTGACATCATGCAGGAGAAGCGTCGACTCGCTGGTTACAAGCCACACAAGAAAAAGCTAACAAGAAAGAAGTCGCCAAAACTGGTGCCGTTGACAGATAGCGACACTGACGACACTGACTATGACAGTAGTTCAGAAAGGCACGTTATCGAAGATGAAGAAGAAGAAATGGAGTCTAGTATAAATCTTTCAGACATTTCTAGCGATGATGCTGAATGGACCTCTTCATCAGATTGACATTCGGAATTTAATAGTTAGGGCGGCAGAACAGTTACTAATATTAATAGACTGAAAAACAGTTTTGTTTTAATGTTTTTACTTTAACTTAAAGTTCTTAGTTAAGTTTAACTTGTAAGTAACATTACATATTAAAAGGTATACTTGTATATTATCTCTTGACTTTAAATGACTTTTAGGGGAATTTAACCCAATTAAAGGCTAAAACTAAACATCAACTGCTTTCAAAAATTTGCCGCCGTGAATTCCGCTATTGCCGTCGTGAAACAGAAAATGACGGATTCACGACGGCAGTTTTTTGCCGCGGTGAAAAAATCTGAATTTCAAGGGCTGCGTCGGCGAAGGCAGCTACTGATGATGAAGTTACGACATCTGGTAGATCATTGATGTAAAGTAAGATCCTTGCTGATCGCCATGTATTGAAATATTTCACTTTCTTCGTTTTCACAGCGAGTGAAACAAACTTCTGCTTGTTAGCGCGAAGCAACAATATGGCGGCTTTGTTTCAAAACTATCACGAAGCCTCTTTTCCATTTATCGCAAGAGCCGACCCGCAGGCTCGCTGCGAGTGCGTTCATCTAATCACAATGCTCGACAATTATAATTAGGATTACTTTTTGCGATGAGTGGAAAAGAGCCCTGAAGCGTTTCAGCATGGTCATATAAGATGAAATTGTCTTTTAAATAGTTCGAATCTTGAGTTTACAAAACGTTAATACTCGCAGTGTGTTTCATCTTCTATTTCGGGAAATTGTCTGCTTGTAAAGGATAACTTTTGGAAATATTGGGCTTGTGTGCCGCCAGAGGCCTAGGAGTTGTATTTATTTAAATAATCCCAAAATGTACACTGTTGTATATCATCGTTAGATGTAAATGTGAGTTGATTACTTGAGTCTGTTTTACTCAGAAGCCTGGTGATGAGTTTGTAATAAAGCCAAATTATAGCTTGCTTTCATCCTTTTTGTTGATTTCATAAAAAACATTAAGCCTGTATATTATTATATTTGGACTGTCTTTCATCCTTTTCCTGTGAAGCGAAATTTATCCTACTGTGTATGCAATAATTCATTTTGCAGGAAAATTTCGCTATATAAACGCTCGTGGATATCTAAGAGATTTTTTCCCATTCGTAACTGTGTTAAAGCTAGTAACTTATATATGAGTAGTATAGTAAGTAATTTTTAACCCGGATTTCTAAGGCAGTGCAAGGTATAAAGTGCATTCATTAGTATTTTAACACAATAATCCTCAAGAAGGTCAGATATAAGGGCCCACAGTAACTGGTACCATACTGTTGTGGTGACCCTGTCATAAATGCATGATAATGGCGAAGTTAAATAAATAAATAAATAAATATAGAATGCGTACTTGATCACGAATCGCGTCCCATTAATCATTATTCTCACGAGTCCCTTATAAATCCACCATTTTAATTTTTAAATAGTGGAGACAAATTGTATTTATTGCACAATTTTTTTACCGAGAAGACATAATTATTATTTCTAGATTCATTATTTTGAGGGAGATTATTATGCAGGCAGTGCACTCAAGTAGGCAAATAATTTTGAGGCAGTCATATTTTTGAGGCAGTGCACTAAGCCTAAGGCATGCACATGTCAATTACCTTGAATAGCAAAATCACGATTCTAGGTATGCTCGCCAACAATAATGCTTGTGGTTGTTCTTTGCTAATTTGCAACCAAATACAAGGCGAGCATACACTCATACTTCGCACTGACATTAAAATATTAAGTTATTTCAGCAACTCTTGGGGGTATTTAAAACCATTTTAACACCATACAGTTCCCATTATCCATCAAAATATTAAAACATTACGAATCACATTTGTCAATTCAACAACAACAGTAGATTATACAAACTTTCTTACGACGTAAATAGGAAGAAATTAAGTCTGAAATTCTGTCTGTTGTAAGTGGCACCACCTTATTTTATAAACCTACACGGCCTTATATAAATAATGAAGCCGCGTTCATTTTATCTAGCCGTGTTTTTCTGCTTTCGGCCGCGATAACATGGCCAACACGGCCCTCTAGCTAAGACCCTGCTGGCACCAGATCCAAATACAGTAGGTATGCTATAAAGGGCTTGAAATAGAAGCCGATCACCGATCAATGATCGGCAAGAAATTGCATATGATCGGCAGAAAAGCAGGGTTTCCAAACTGAAAAAGCCATGATTGGGAACTTTGGGTATGCTATTTAAAGCCCTGCTATAATTCTGACACAACATTGCACTTGCATATTACAGCATTCCTATTACAGGGTTTCCAAACTGAAAAAGTCATGATCAGGAACTTAATTTGGGTATGCTATTTCAAGCTCTGCTGCTATAGTTCTGACACAACATTAATTGCACTTGCATATTACAGCATTCCCATTGCTTCAGATAAAAATATTAACCTTCCCTACAGAAAATACTTCACAAAGCATTATTTGCATAACATTGTGGTCACAGTCAAGAATTTTCATAGCTCTTTGTTTTGCATTGCCATATTGTATTATGCATGAGTCTCATAATAATGTTTCAAGGTCGTTACCCCCACCCCAATCAAGTTTTAGTCTGGCAGATTCTACTTAAAACTTGAGAGGTTTTTGATGCCAAATATTTGTATTTTCCTGACAATTTCCATCAACGTCAGGCAAAATTTTGTTTGCACCCCTAATTTTTTCCTCTTGTACGCCTATGCATACAAGGCAGATGACTATCGAGGATTTGCTTGAATTTATTGGTATTTAATATGTGGTGCATCATGTGGTGTATCTCCTATATTGCATTAACAATTGCATTAACATTATTGCTATAAACAGTTTAATTAAATGTGACCTCAATCAATTCCATGGGTGCCCCCCCCCCCTCCCCCGCATTTGTCGGGCATTCTCAACTGTACTTGTTGCCAGGGTCGGGCATTTGCTTTCTGCAGGTTAGCCCCGGGGTGGGGAATTTGCTCGAGGCTAAAAAGTCAATATTTATCGCTTGTTTCTCCATTTAGCCGTACTTTAGTACGCATGTTTACATGTGGGTGTGTATGCGAATTAATCATGGCGGACATACACACTAAGACTTTTTTCTTGTCCATCCTGTTGATACATTGACTTACTTCTGCAGTTTGATAAATATTGCTATATAAAGTTTTGAGACTTCAATATTTTAATTAAAAATCTTTTGAAACGAAATGGCTACAGAATGGATTTTAAATACAGATATATTGATATGTGATAGAGATTGCATTCAATTTTTTGGATCAGAAATCCTCAGAAAACTTATATTTTGTCCCCCATGGGTGGGGCATTTGCGTCAATGTAAGTCCCCAAGGGTGGGGATTTTGTTGCATTATTTGGACCCCATAGTGGGACATATGCAACGTTTTTTCGCCAAAATGACAAATGCCCGGGGGGGGGGGGCACCCATGGAATTGATTGAGACATTAGACATATTAAAGGATTATATTCTGCAAACAGTATATCCAATTATCTGGTGATTTTATAATCATGTTTATGTCATGTACCTTTAAAAATGTCACTCAATGTCAGAATTAGATCAAACATTATTAAATGTCACTGTACGTACAGACTATATTTAATATTAAAATACACTACCTTCGTTGTTCTTCTTTACTTAACGTCTTCATTGTTGTGGCTATACCGTCTGCACCAGTAATAACATGAAGCTAACAAATGAAACATGCAATACAGATGACATTGTCTCGTATTATACATAAAGAAGAGAGGAAAAGAAAAGGAAAACAACATGTTTTTAATACCTGTTCAATGGCAACATTAGCCGCCATTTTGTTTATGAATCAGTGTGACCCATTGAACTATAAATAAACTGGAAGGCTAACTCAGGGGGGGAAATCGAAGCCAGTGCATTTTAGTTTTTCTGAGTTATGAGCAGAAATACTCAACACTGAACGTTGGGCTATATATCAAATTGAAGCTATTGAAAAACTCTATTTGGTGTAGAAATTTCAAGACTTTAGCTAAAAGGGAAATATTGAAAAACTACAAACATAATTACCGATAATTTGCCGTTTTGCAGTTGTTTTTGTATTTTTTAAAGATTCTTCTTTTCGCTGAAGTCTTGAAATTTCCACATCGAATAGCAATTTTCAATAGCTTCAATTTGATATATAGCCCGACGTTTGGGGTCAAGTATTTCTGCTCATAACTCAGAAAAGCTATTTTGGCTTCATCAAATCATAGGCCTTCATCATAGCAGTTAGCCTTCCAGTTCATTTATAGTTCAATGGTGTGACCCAGATATTTTGCAAGGCAATTACTAAATAAGCATGCAAAAAATTACCAAAACCACAGAATGTCAAAATGTAGAAAAAATTACTAAATTTCTGCTGTCAACCAAAGTGGTCTGAAAATCAATCATCTCACTGTTCTCAGCAAAACAAAATCAGTAAAACAATTTCCATCACGTGCACTGAAAATGTGTTTTTTTCCATGTTTTTCATTCTCACTTGTCAGTGGCGTAGCCAGCCCGATAATTTAGTCCCGCTATGCAAATTCAAAATTATTATCATTATTCATTTCACTTTAGAAATTGATTTAGACAGTCAATGAACACGAAAATATTTGCATAGCGAGACTAAGGCTATGTGCACACGAGCGTCGTTTTCCAGCGTTTTCAAAAACGTTTTGGTCCCTTGAATCGTTTTGACGCCCTGTTCACACGATTCAAAGGAAAATATCTCCAATATATAAAAATAAACTACAGCTTCTGTCGTAAATTGATAGTGTTTGCATCCGTTTTAGCGTGAAAACACAAATGAAAACGCTCGAAAACGTTACCGTGTGCACATAGTCTAAATCGTCGGGCTGGCTACGCTACTGTCACTTGTACTTTTTGGTTACAGTTGTGCAAAATGCAAATATGGCGTCGCGATGATCGGGCCCCGGGCACAGAATACTACACAGAAGTCCATCTTCATTGTTTTTAGCGTAAGCTCTATTCGTCATGATTCGTCACTC